GTTGATCTTTTTTTAAAGATTTATTATTTATGCATATAAGAGCTCGGGTACAGGCCAGAGGTGTGTGTGGGCGGGGGGGGGGGGGGAGTATGAGAGGATTCACCAGAGACAGAGGGGGTACCAGAACAGGCAGATTGATTGAAATAGACTGCTGAAGGGAGCAGCAGGCGAGTCAGGAGAGGTCTGCTGCGCCAGGTGGGTAACTTCCTGGCCGGGGATCAAACTTGTGCTGCAGAGGCTTTGGATAGCTTCATAGGTTGTGTCTTAACCCCTTGCGCCACCAGGGAGGCCCCAGTTGATCTTTTGATAATCTGTAACCTGAATATTTTGTACTGCTAAATTCTTAATAAACTTGACACAAGAAAAAAATGCTGTAGTATAAGTCTTTCAGATTTTGTTCTAATTTGTAAGTGGTAAAAGGTTTAGGTTTCCAAACTGATCACTATGGGGGAAAAATACCTAAAAAACTGATCACTTTATCATTTGTATAGTTTCCAAGGGATTGGAGCCATCTCTGGTCATAAGGGGGCACACTTCAAGCAAAATGCTAATGTCAGCTGAATTTTAATTTAATTTTTAATTAAACATTTATAGCTACAACATATAATATACAAGTGCAGGCTTACGCATATTTCCCTAAATCTTTCAGAATACTAGGGGTTTGTTTTGTTGAAGTATATAGGGATTTTTAAGGCATATGCTTGTTTAGGGAGAGGTTTTTGTATTGAAATGGGAAGAAGCAAGACAAAAATCTCGCTTTTGAATTATCTGCTTTTATTATGTTAATTAAAACAAAACTCTACAGAGCATCTAAGTGCCTCTCAAGCTACATAAAAAAGAATCCAGTTGATGAATGAGAATTATAAAGATAATTTACACAGTCAGTGAAAAAAACCACCTAACCTGAAAGGCAATTAAACAAGAGCTATATCACCATGTTACATTTAAAAGCAGAAAATATATGTGAAGAAAACTAAGCAATCATCATTACTCTTATACTTGTCTTCTGGAACAGATTCTCTTAAATTTCTGATATTGCTTCCTTTCCTTTCTGCTTTAAACAACTGTGTCTCACACCTTCATGTACACAAAATCATCTAGGGATCTTGTTAAAATGCAGATTCTCACTCAGAATGGATGAAGTAAGGCCTGAGACATTTAAACTAGCTACTAGGTGTTTCTCACATATTTGGATCAGACTTTGAGACGCAAGGTCTTTAGCTAATGGCAGAGAGGAGTTGACATTCCAAAAGAAAAGTGAGGTTTTCTCTTTTTGTTCCACAAAACCCACATGAAATTCCTAGTTCATTTACATACCTTAGTTCTAAGCTCAGTTCAGCTTACTCCTGGTTGCCCTGACTTGCTCCTCATCAGTCCCTTCTGTATTCCCACAAAGGTAAGTTCTTAAATACAGGGATGCCTCAGAGATATCGTGGGTTTTATTCCAGACTACAATAAAGCAAATACTCTAATGAAGTCACACAAATGTTTTGTGGTTTTTAGTGTATATAAAAGCTATTGGTATAGTATATCATAGTCTATTGTGTGCAAATGCATCATATCTAAGAAAAAATGTACACACCTTAATTAATTAAAGATTTATTTATCTATTTATACAAGCACTGGGTACAGTCAGAAGCACGGGAGGGTGAGAGAATTCACCAGAGCCAGAGAGGGGAGCAGAACAGACAGACTGACGAAATACTCTGCTGACGGGAGCAGCGGGTGGCAGGAGAGATCTGTGCGCCATGTGGGACCCTCTACGGCAGCCGGGGATCGAACCGGCGCTGCAGAGGCTGCAGGCAGCTTCACAGCCCAGCGCTCAACCGCTGTGCCACTAGGGAGGCCCCATACCTTAATTTAAAAGTACCTAAATGCTAAAAACTGTTAAGCGTCATCTGAGCCTTTTGAGAGTTGTAAACTTTTTGCTCTGAGGTCTTGCCTCAATTTTGCTGGCTATTGACTGACTAGCATGGTGGTTGCTGAGGCTGGGGTGGTTGTGGCAATTTCTTAAAATAAGACAGCAAGGGAGTTTGCCATGCTGACTCTTTCTTTCATAAAGATTTCTCTGTAGTATGCAACACTGATAGCATTTTACTCCCAGTAGAGCACTCAAAATTGGAGTCAATCCCCTCAAAGTCTGATACTGCTTTATCAAATATGTTTATGTAATGTTCTAAATCCTTTGTTGTCATTTCAGCAGTGTTCACAGCATCTTTATGAAGGGTGGTTTCCATTTTAAGAAGCTAATCTCTTTGCTCACCCATAAGAAGCAACTCCTCATGCATTCAAGTTTTATCATGAGATAGCAGCAATTCTGTCACCCCTTCAAGTCTCCACCTTACTATATCTACCACATCTGCAGTTACTTCTTCCACTGAAGATTTGAATCCCTCAAAGTCATTCAAAATTTAGGATGAATTCAACTTCTTTCAAACACCTGTTAATGTTGTTATTTTAACCTCCTTCTATGAATCATGAATATCCTTCATGGCATCTAGAATGATGAATCCTTTGTAGGTTTTCTATTTTGCCCAGATTCTTCAGGGCAAAATATGACAGTTAAAGTCTTGTAGCATATGTATCTTCAAATCATTAAACTTAAGTCAAAATCATTTCTTGACTCATGAGTGGTTGTTTTAGTAGGCATGAAAGCAACATCAATCTCCTTGTATATCTCCACCAGAACTATTGGGTACTAGGTGCATTGTTACTGAAAATTAGTATTTTGAAAGGAATTTTTCCTCCTTAGCAGTAAGTCTCATCATATGGGTTAAAATTGATTTAAAGGGCCTCCCTGGTGGCGCAGCGGTTGAGCACTGGGTTGCGAAGCTGCCTGCAGCCTCTGCAGTGCCAGTTCGATCCCCGGCTGCTCCCCAGCCACCGGAGGAGGGTCCCACATGGTGCGCAGACCTCTCCTGCTGCCCGCTGCTCCCCTCAGCAGTGTACTTCGGTCCTTCTGCCTGCTCTGCTCCCTGCTCTGGCTCTGGTGAATTTCTCACCCTCCCGCGCTTCTGACTGTATCCAGTGCTTGTATAAATAAATAAAAATAAATCTAAAATAAATAAATAAAATTGTAATTAAAACATACTGTAGATAGGTGTACTGTCCCAGGCTTTGTTATTCTACTTATAAAGCAAAAGCAAATGAGGTTTAGCATACTTTTTAAGGGTCCTGAGATATTTCATAATGGTCAAGGAGTAATGGTTTCAACTTAGTCATGAGAAGCATTATTCCTAACAAGAGAGTCAGCCTGTCCTTTGAAGCTTTGAAGTCAAGCACTGACTTCTCTCTAGCTATGAAAGTCCTAGAGGGCATGCTCTTTCAATATAAGGCTATTCCATCTACACTGAAAATTTGTTTAGTTCCACCATATCTTACTTAGCTGGGTCTTCCAGATAACTTACTGTAGCTAGCACTTGCTATTTCACTTTGCACTTTGATGTTACAGAGATAGCTTCTTAAACTTTATGAACCAACCTCTGTAAGCGTCAACCTTTTTCTTCTGCAGCTCCCTCACTTCTTGCAGCCTTCACTGAATTGAAGAGTTAGGTTTTGTGCTGGATTAGGCTTTAGTTTCAGGGAATGTTGTGGCTGACTTGATCTTCATCCAGACCACTAAAACTATTATCAGCAATAAGATTATTTCACGTTCTTATCATTTGTGTATTCACTGAAGTAGTACTTCAAATTTCCTTCAAGAACTTTTCCTTTACATTCACAACTTTTTGGCACAAGAGGCATAGCTTTCAGCCTGTCTTGGCTTTCAACATGCCTTCCTCACTAAACTTATTTCTATCCTTTGATTTAAAAAGAAATGTGTGACTTTTCCTTTCACTTGAACACTTAGAAGCCATTGTAGGTTACTAATTGACCTAATTTCAACATTGTTGCTTTTCAAAGAATATGGAGGCCTGACTAAAGGTGAAGGAGATGGGAGAGCAGCCCATTCGAAGAGGAGTCTGAACACATATTTATCAATTAAATTTACTTTCTCATATGGGCATGATTTGTGGTGTGCCAAACCAATAACAATAACAATTTCAAAGGTTACTGATCATAGATAATCAAAACAGACATAACCATAATGAAAAAGTTTGAAATATTGCAAGCATTACCAAAATGTGACAGAGACATGATGTGAACACATGCTATTGGAAAAATGACACCAATAGATTTCTCAATTCAGGGTTGCCACAAAACCTTCAAATTATAAAAAATGCAGTATCTGCAAAGCACACTAAAGAGAACTGCAGTAAAATAAGGCATGCCTTTACAAATACCTGTTATTATCAAGAATGTCATATGTAAATGCTATCCATGTAACTCCTAAGCTAAGTGTCCTCAAAGAGTTATCCTCTACTGCACCTAATGAGGGTATTTCCTAGAAATGGGGTTATGGTTAAGACCCTTTGTATGACTCTACTAAGTTGACTTTTGCAGAAGATTTATTTTATAATTACATTTTATAAGGTAACATTAAAATAGATTTGTATGCTGTAACCATAAACCAACTAAGAGTGTTAGTAAAAAGGGCATGGGGTTAGAGGAGATTTCTTTGAAAGCATGAGGAAGTATAATTTGGAGGGAGGTCTACACAATAAAATATTTTTAATGGATGATCCATCTATACAAAGTCAAAAAAGTTCATTTATCAAATTCTATTCCACTTAATGCAACTCAGATAATACAAATAAAATGATTATATTATTTCATTCCTCCCAACAGGTTATTTAAGTGCTGCTAAGGACCCTTTAGAAAGTACAAACAGCTACCATTTACTGAGCACTTACTTATGCATGTCCCTAAACTAAGAGTTTTCTATGTAGTTAGTTATTAAATTCTCACTCCACACCTATGAGCCAGGATCATTATGCCAATGTTACAAGTAACAAAAATGCAGCTGATGAAGGACCTTTTCAATTGAAAAACTTCTGAAAAACTCAACCATATGGCTCAGTCTATATAAATAAATAAACCCAATATATTTAAAACTTAATTTACAAAATAGGAAACTTTAGGGTTATTAGTTACTTCATGGAAAAAACACTCAGTGACTGGATACCACTAATAGTATCTGTAACAGGTTTAATGTACACATAATTATCCAGGTAAATACTTACACAAAGTAAGTCATCTTTATAACACTGTCAAGATGCCACTCATTTTTATTGCTAAGGAAGTGAACCTTTCTCTACCCAAGTATTTCCAAAACTGGATTGATCATAACAAATGATCTATATTGCTTCTTAAAACTGTAGAGGCTCCAGTTTCCTCCAGTGGAGATTCTGAACAAGTTGATCTTAGATGAATTCTCGGAATCTGCATATTTAACATATTATCCAGATGATTCTTATGATCTGGCTAGTTTGGGGAATGTTACTCTACTGTGTAAACCTCAGGTTTCTTATCTTAGCATGTAAAGTTCTATACTGTCTTGTCTTAATGTACATTTCAAACACATCCCACAATTATCTGTGTTTAAAATTATCTATTCATTATTCTCCAAATAGATACTTCCCTCCGTTGGAGTTTAAGTTATCCCCTCTACCTAAAATGTCCTTCTTTCATATATTTGTTCATCAAAATCCTATTCATATATCAAGTCAAGACTGAAATCAAATTTTAACTTCCCATAAAGGCTTCCCTGAACTCATGACCAAGATTATATTCTTTCCTATGTATCCCCATAACTCTTTACTTTTTTTTAGATTTATTTTTATTTATTTATGCATATAAGAATGGGGGTATAGGTCAGAGGTGAGGCGACAAGAGGATTCACCAGAGACAGAGTGGGGAGCAGAACAGGCAGACTGACTGAAAAACACTGCTGAGGGCAGCAGTAGGAGAAACAGGAGAGGTCTGCTGCACAATGTGGGGTAGCTCCCTGGCAGGGGATCGAACCCATGCCTCAGTGGCTGGTGTGGCTAGCGACAAGCACTGAGATGTTAACCCATGCATCACCAGGGAGGACCCTTCACATAACTCTTTAAACCTCTACTTAATTATGCTCAAAATGTGGCTAGAGGCCACAGCAGCAGCAGCAGCAGCAGCAAAACTTGGGAACTTGTTAAGAAATGCAAATTCTCAGGCTCCACTCCAAACCTGAGTCAACACACTGGGTATGGTGCCCACTAATTTGTTTTCAAACAAGCTCTCTCAATGATTCCGATGCCCTCTGAAGCTTGAGAACCACTTCTTTAAAGTATTCTACATTACTGCTTTATTATTTGTCTTAATTTCTGTACCAGAATGTAAAGAAAGTTCCATGAGATAAAAAACAATGTTTTCATCATTTACATCCTTTGCAGCACCAAGTACAGTGCTTTTCACTTAGCATATCACAATAAGTCTTGTTGAATTAAATTGCTTTTTCTTTACTGTCAAAGTCTATGTATGCAAGATAAGCAGATCGTAGTGCACCAATTTTTCATTTTAATAGAGCTTAATAACCTTTAAAGGTTGTAGCATGATTGATTCAGATGCAGAAACATACCAATTGTAAAGATGACTAATATAAAGGAAGAGGTTGTGCTTATTTTTCAACACAAACAAAAAGTCTCTTAGCTTTGTTTTAAGCTTTTTCTTCTAAGTATAATAAATAACATACCTCATAAATGTTTACTAATAATAACAATAACAATCTCCAAAAGTTTCTCTTCTTTACTTATCATTTTTAAGGTTTTTATTTAAAAAAAACTTATTTCCCAAAATTTCTTAACTGAGCTTCACACTGTATATATAAATAAATTAAACATACATTGCTTAGAGTACCTATAAACTACTTATCAATAAACATATTTGAGATATAGTTCATTGGAAAATAATGTAAAGTAGCTTCTGTTATAGTACACATAACAAAATTTTAGAATTCACCACACTGAAAAACAAGCTAAAGGAAAACAATGATATATATTAACATTTCATTTATTATCGTTTAACTTATATAACAGGTTCAGACAGCACTGGATTCTTAAAAATCTTTAGTAAAAGAAAAATATTTGTGCATAATTCATACAATACATGGATTCACTGACCTAGCATTATTTTGCTTTCACAGAATACCTTTCTTCTTAAGAAAATATATGAATGAAATTTTAAATTGGTTCCTCTCAAAATCTAATTAATAACCAAATAATTATTTTCAAGTGTAAGTTATCATCTTACTGAAACAAAGCACTGTTAAATGTGCTTTTCACAAAATTACAACATAATGGGAAAAGTTGACAAAACTGATCAAATTCATGAGAAATCTAAACAATTATAAATTATTTTTTAAAAATAAAATCATGTTTTGTAACCAAGTCTCTTTATGCTTTGTCTTATTGATATAGGAGGCATTTCTGGGGGATTTGTTTTAGAAAATACCATCAAATATTCCTAGAAAAGACTTTATTTCATCAGCTTCATTGTCAGGATGATACCTACTGGAAAGAAAAATCAAATATCAAAATAACTATTGTATAACAATTTATTTTAAAATGCACAAGAAATGATGTAATAATATATACAAAATGGGTGAACTTAAAGATTGCTGAGAGGTCAATATCAAATTAGGATAAGTATATATATATATATATATATATATATATATATATATGTAAGCTCAATGAAAGTATTGGGGGGAAAAACATCTGTTGGAAATTTCTTTAAATGTATTAGAAAGTAATGTAATTTATTTATTTATTTTTAAAGATTTATTTATGTATGCATACAAGAACTGGGGTGTAGGTCAGAGGTGAGGCAATAAGAGGATTCACCAGAGACAGAGTGGGGAGCAGAATAGGCAGACTGACTGAAATACACTGCTGAGGGGAGCAGGGTGAGGCAGGCGAGGTCTGCTGTGCCATGTGGGTAGCTCCCTGACCCTGAATCTAACTTAGGCTACAATAGCTGCAGATAGCTTCATAGTGCTAAGACTTAACCCATTGCACCACCACGGAGTCCCTAGAAAGTAATGTAATTTAAAGGATGTGTGAACAGACCTATGAACTTTGACTTCAAGAGGAGGAAGGAAATTGGTACAGTTACTCATAAAAATTACCAGCAATAGGGGCACTGATTAGACCTAACCTTACTTTTTCATTGTACTTGAAGAATTGAACAACTTGAAATTTTGAAAATTTAACTGATCTCATTTGGATTTCTCAACTGATCTGATACTTCTTATTATCAACATATTATATGCAAATAAGTGAAAAAAACTATCAACACAGTGTTTTAATTTAATAGCATTAAACATATATTTGATATTGTGAATTATGTGAAGGCACTTAGTATACTAGGGTTCAGAAATGTCAATGTTTTTAGTAAATAAAATATTTAGGTTCTAATCTTTACCATGAAGCAAGATAAAAGGAATGTTGAATGTCTTTGTAAAAAGTTTTTATTGGTAAAATCTTTAAATACTTTAAAAAGAACTTACCTAAAATCAATTTCCTCTTTATAGTCACTGCTTCTAATAAAGAAATCCACATTCTTAACAAATTTTGATGAATTTGTTTTTTTTACAGAACCAGTAAAGCATAACTTCTCAATCTCTGGTGACAGACTTTGTTGTTTTCTTTCTTGGAAATGGACCTACATTTTGTGGTTAAAAAATAACAGTCATAGAAAGTTTAGCGATCTGGGCAGAATTTAAAAGAAAAACAAAGAAGTACTTTTTCTTACAATATTTGCATTTCCACTTGGTTGAGGTGATTTCATCATGGAGGATGTATCAAACTTGGACATAGCAGAAGTTGATAAATAAGTATCTGGTTCCTCATGTGAAGAAACAAAACTGAAAAATGAAAATTAATTATTTGTAAATATGAAAAATAAAAGAAACGATTCTAATTTAGATCAATAGTGATTCTTTGAGGACTATGATGAAAGTTTATTACATTTATCTCCAAAATAACTGATACTGTTTCTTAGACTCATGGAGAACTTGGTAGGTATGTCTCCTTTCCTTTACATCAAAGAACAACTTATGTATTCTAAATTAGATAAGAATACTACTTTTAAAGGCCTACAAAAAGTCATTCAACAATTTATTTTAAAATTGAATCTTATGCTTAGTTGTCTGTCACCTTGCAGTCTGTAAATCTTTTCTAAATACCACTTCCTTAACTTTTTTTTAGATTTATTTTATTTATTTATGCATACAAGAGCTGGGGTGGAGGCTAGAGGTGCAGGGGGTGAGAGGATTCACAAGAGACAGATTGGGGAGAACAGGTGGATCTACTGAAATACACTGTTGAAGGGAGCAGCAGGAGAGACAGGAGAGGTCTTCTGCGCCAAGTGGGTCAGCTCCCTGGCCAAGGATTGAACTTGGTGGGCTGGCGGGCCACAGTGGCTGGCAATTGTTTCATAGTGCGCCACCAGGGAGGTCCTTCCTTAACTTTTTTTTTTTTTAAGATTTATTTATTTATACAAGCATTGGATAGTCAGAAGCACAGGAAGGTGAGAGAATTCACCAGAGCCAGAGCGGGGAGCAGAGCAGGCAGACTGGCGAACTACATTGCTGAGGGGAGCAGCGGGCAGCAGGAGAGGTCTGTGTGCTATGTGGGACCCTTGCCCGTGGGGGGGGGGTCAGGGGGGCTGGGGATTGACCCAGCGCTGCAGAGGCTGCGGGCAGCTTCGCAACCCAGCGCTCAACCACTGCACTACCGGGGAGGCCCTTTCCTTAACTTTTTATCTACTTTTCCCATTCTGGTCTCACTGCAGAAGGACATCCGCTAGTTAACTTCTTATACCAGAACTCACCTTTAATCTTCTGTATTAAATTCATTTATTAAAAAACATTTAAATATTATTCACTACTATATGCCAGACACTGTACAGGAGTTGGGTATAAAAAGTGACAAACAAATGCTCAGGAAGTTATCATCTGGTAGAGGAGAAGATAATGAATAAATAAGTACATACTTAACTACAGATCATGAAGTGATATGGAGGAAATTAATGGTAATATTATAGGAAAAACACTGTCAAGGCATAAATGCACTTTAAAAAAGATGGTCATGAGAGCATCTCTGACAATATAAGCTGATGCTTAGAGGTTATAATGTGACAACCATACAAGGAACAATCAGTGCATGGGACAGAAGCAGAGGAGAATCACATATATTGATAGGATTGAATCATTTTGTCTTTTATTTTTTTTTTTTTTTTTTTTTTTTTTTTTTACATCAGACAAATGGTACATCTCTTCATAATTCAATCTGCTGAACTATGCAACCATCATAGTATCATTTTGTCTTTTATTAATGGCAAGGAATTAACATAGTAAAAAGGGTATAATCAAAAAAGTAAGTCACCTTTCCAATCTAGACCCTCACACCCACAGATCTTCTCAGTGGAAACTTCCAGCACTGTTTCTCAGAGGCTCTTTGAAAGAATTCATTTTTTATACCACCCTACTGTCTGTTGGTCACTTCTAAAAGTGACCACTTCCATTGGTCACTTCACTCCCATAATTATCTGTAGTTTTCTAAATGTGTGGTACACTAAATTGTTCATTGTCTTATCTTCCTGCTTGTGATTTACCTATTTTCTCTACAACCCTCTATTCCACTTTGATTGCTTATTCAGTGTGACTCACAGTTAGAACCAATATATGGAAATTACAATGGCAAATCTTAGGCAAATATTTTTAAAAGAGATTGAATGGTTTAAGAGATTCTAACAAAAAAAGCATTTGGAATGAATGAGCTCTTGGTCACAGAATTGTCTTGGCAGAAGTCGTGTAACTATTTGCCAATGATGGTAGGAGGTAATTTAAGAATCCAATTGTGGGAAGACTAAATGAAACTTAAATGAAGTTTGCTTCAGCCCTGGAATTCTCTGAAACCTGATTCTGTGATAATGATATTTAATAGTTTATAAAATGACTAAATAATAGTAAAAATACCAAAACACCACAAATTTAGTATTTTTTAAAGAGGAGAAATAAATAATCCTTAAGTAGAAAATTAGACCCTGAATAAAAAGTTGTTAGCATTCTCTTTGGAAAAGTTTTGGTTGTGACTATAATTTTTCTCTCTTGACTTTGATTCAAGATCAATATCTAAATGTATTCTGCATTTTTGCAAAGATACTCCAAGTTGAGCATTTTTAAAACTCGTATTGTTTTCTCTTCAAATGTTGTATATTTCCTTTACTTTTAAATAACACCTCCATCTACCCATTTACCACTTTTTCTTTCCTTTCTTAATTACCATATATTGTCAATTGTTAAATCTAATGTAAATCTTCCATGTTATTTATGAAGTGTTTGAAATATCCAAATCTGCTTCTTTGTTTCTAACATGTTTGTCCTACTTCAGACTGCATCATAGCCTACCTTTCCTATTCATCATATGACTAGACCTATATATATATATATATATATATATATATATATATATATATATATATATAAAAACAGCCACTTTGGAAAAGACTATGGAAATTCCTCCAAAATTTAAAAATAGAACTATCATATAATCCAGTAATCCCACTTCTAAGTATTTACCCAAAGACCATGACAATGCTAATCTGAAAAGGTATGCATGCCCTATTTTCATTGCAGCACTATTTACAATTCAAGATACAGAAACAACCTAAGTGCCCAACAATAGATATATGGATTAAGATGTGGTATATACACACAATGAAATACTACTAAGCCATTTTTGATAACATGGATGGGCGTTGAGGTAATTAAGCTAAGTACAATAAGGCAACAACAAAAAGATTATGTGATTTCATTCATTTGTGGGATATAAAGAAAAGCAAAAGCAACTAATTCAACACAACAAAAACAAAACAAATTCCTAGACTTTGACAACAAAATGGTAGTTACCTGAAGGGAAGAAGGGAATTGGGAAGAGAGTGATGGTGGTTGATAACTACAATTTTGTTGGAGGTATGGTATGAAAAATACCACACTAAGACAAGTAACTACATATATCTGAAACCTATTGTAAACTAATGTTATGTCAACAAAAAGAAAAAAAAATCTCCTAAATACTTAAGGATAAAAATTCATTGTCAAAATTTCAAAGTCAGGTGTAGGGTAAGGAAAAATGTGAGGCTTTTCTGCCCTCCCGCCATCAGGACAGATGATGGATCCTTGCGGTCCTGAATGCATGCCTGATGGCGGGCACCTGGAATAGGGTATGGGCATAGGTAGATGGGATTCACCTGGGCTAAGACTGGGCTTTTAAGGTCGGCATCACGGGGACGCCAGCAGAAGCCAAGAAGCCGAAAAAGAAGTAGCAGAAGCCAAGAGAGAAGCAGAGAACGCCGGAGAGCCCAGATAGAGTGAAGACTTGCTGGGGGCTGGGAGGCCTGCCAGCCTCCCGGCCCCCCAGCACCCCTACCTGCCGTGTACCGGGTAAATCCAATAAAAAGACCTGCAAAAAGCCACTAAGGACTCTGACTCCTCCTTTACCCAGTCTGCTGGATCAGGACACCTGCACTGTGTCCATTCCTGCCCCTACATCAGGTGATGTCATAAAATTTTAGATTTTTAACTTTATTTGGAAAATCAGAATATCTGACACTATATTTATATTTCCTATACAACAACTAGTTGCAACTGAGTAGTCACTGCTCCCTTTCTATGAGACACACTGTAGTTGATCTTGGCACACCAAATCCTGAAGGCAATTTGAGTTTGTAGCCCCTGATCAACACAGGTGTCTATTATGGAATTCAAGGCCTTTCACAATCAGACCTCAGCAATTTCAGCCTTAATAGTGTGGCCACATTGAACGCACTTAAGCATGGTATGCCTTTTCTAGCTTTATTCCTTTGAACATGCAACTTTCTACCTGGAATGCCTCATTCTCCTCTTTTCTACTTGTCAAACTCCTATTTAGTGTTCAAGTTCTGAGAAAAATGGAAGATTCCTAGGCTTTAGCTCCAGTGACCATAATTCAGTGAGTCTAGTGTTAAGCCCAGAAATGTGCATTTTTAATATGCACCCCTACATGATTTTGATGCTGGTGGTCTGACAACAGCACTTTGAGAAACACAGCTTTAAGATTAAGAGGGTTTAGACTGGTTAATACCCAACAGCTTCTCTGACAGCTAATGACTTGATCCACATCTCCAATACATGTCAGGCAGGTATAAAGGTGTAAGTTTCCCAAATCAAAGTTCTAAAACTTGCCTGTTTGACATTTCTCTCTGGAATTTGCTTTTTGACTGTTGGAAGGCTAGCTTACTTTCCCTCATACTGGAACTCAACATGTCTCCAAATCCTGTAGAAAGAGATCACATTTTGAAATAAAATGCCAGGAAACAGCTAAATGGAGCTTTTCACAAGTTCTACAAGGGCTCTTTTAAACAGATATGATCTGGTTAAGGAAGGAATAGATAATTCTTTACAATAATCAAATTCAATTTGCATAGAGAACAAAAGGAGCAAAACTAAGAGAGTAAAACTACAAAACATGTTGGTTAGTTTACAAGTTACTGTATTAAAAGGTCTCCATACCACGATTATTTATCTTTAGTTTATGTAAATGATCAATCCTAACTTCATTCAATATTTTCAATAGCCTGCATGTAATTAAGTTCATTTAAAGTTCTCTATCCCTGGAAAATGGCATTTATTGAGATTGATTTTCTCAGTCCAAAGCTATGGCTTCATAAGATTCTAAGCTACCTGAAAAAATCAGTACAAATTGCCTCTTAACTTGTAGTACAAAATGACTTTTAACCTAAGATAGGAACTATTTATTTATTTATAACTGAAGAGTCAGTATTTCTATACTAGAAATAAGTTATCTTTTATTTTCTTAGCCAACAGATAATTTTTTTTTAAAGATGGAATATTTTTGTCCTTCACAATTATTAGCAGACCATTGTGATCTTAGAATGGAGAGCTATTGATAGTCTGCTTTATAAGGGGTAATTCAATAAACAATCTGAATTTGAATAGAGTCTTTAAGAAGATAGGGGAGCAATAGAACAGAAAAAGCTAATTTGTTATATAGCATCATCATGGAATAACCCCGACCTTTGCCCTTAGGGGAAGGAAATATCATTTATGAAGGTCACATTTTCAGCTTTATTGAAACTCATAATGTTAACAAACCAAGACTAATTAAGCAAAAACACAAAGAAGGCAAAGAAAACTAGTCCCTGAAGCTGAACTGAAAGAAAAGAATTTATGAAATTGTTTCATGTTAAAATGCAATTTTACCTGATGATTTTATCTGAGTATCAGCTGAAAAGTTAGTAACTTCTATTAAGTTTTCATCATCAAAATCTTCCCAAACTTCATTTCCCAGTTCAAAGTTCACATTCAAAACTTCTGAAAATGGAGACTTGCTTTTATCCACATCTGTCAAATTCTGGTTTCCAGACACATTAAGATTTTTGTTGAAGAGCACTGCTTGGGGGGCTTTCTCATTTGACATTGTAGAATAGTTCCATCTAGATAAACCTGTCATGTGTATATATATAAAAGTGTACAGGTAATTTTTAAACCATAAGCATTACTATCTATTGATACATCAACTATGCCTTTCAACTACTAAACAGGGGTCCTGAATAGTTTCCAAAGTACTGAACCTATATAAAGGTGGTCCCCAGGGAAAGGAGTGTTTCCAGGTTCCCTGCCCCACCCAAGGAAGGGTGGAGCTGAGCAGGGAGAAAAAGCTGGAGGAGACTGGAGAAGGAAGGAAGAAGGATAGAGAGCAGGAAGGAGAATGGAGGAGGTGCATGGAGCAGAGAGATACGTGAAGAAGCTACACTTACTTTTTGGTCCTGGACTGGGTGAAACAGATGTGGGTGAGAGACCCTTGAGGAGATTAACAATTGCAGCTTTTATCTTGATTTTGATTTTGCTCTTTTCCTCCCAGACTTGTCTGGCTGTCTAACCCTTTTCTATGGGTCTCCACTAGAATGTGCTTAGGATGCTTGATTTATATATTTATATATTTGTTGCACACTCATTGAAGTTTCTTTCCATTAAAGGTCTTGTGCACTACAGTATGTTTTGTCTTGATGAGGAAGATGGCAGAATCTATTTAGAACAGGCAGGTTTGGGGCTTCTGGGGTGTCCTTCTCCCTGCCCTGTAACAAATCTAGCATTTCTGAATGCTGTGTTTTATTTGTATAATGTATTCTATTTACTGTGTTACTTACATATACTGATAGTTGAACTAACTTTAATTTTCAGTGGATTCTTTTAGAGCTAATTCCTCCTCTTAATTCTTATATGAGAATAACAATACTCCAAGATTAGATATAATAATTTCTAAAATGGTCTTCCTCCCTCCAGTTTGTTGGAAGTATTTGTTATAAAATACATTTGTCCAAAATAGATTTTAATTTTTCTCTAGCTAAAAGAGCCTTGGGTATTATCCATTCTTTTTGCTGGGCTTAGAGACATGACCTGGATGAAAATTCCACCTCTGCTCATTTACTAGTTGTGTGATCTTACCAAATAATTTCAACTCTCTGAGCCTAGTTTTCTCCTCTGAAAAATGAGAATTATAATAGTAGCTATCTCATAAGATGACTAATGCCCTTACTTATGCACTTTTCCTATAGTTATGATAATAAATACTTAATAGCTGCTTCTCTAGAAACTGAATGTACAAATATACATATGTACATGAAATTGTTATATGTATCATATGTATTTATTATATGTAAAAGATACACAGAACACAATTTACAAATAATACCATACAATGTGCTTAAGTGTAAATTCTAATTATCTAACTGATTTTCATTGGTTTTTGTCAGGCTCTCATATCTGTAGTCAATCTATGATTGCAGCTGACAAATGAATGCAGTCCTCACCTGAATGTTGTTTGGTATTTTTGTAGACTTTAACAGGTAAAGCGTGAAAGTAAAATAACAAAGACATATGTTGAGACGTCACTCATTCATCCACTAACATAAGCAACTTCATGAATTTGGTAATAGTTTTCAAATACTAGAAGAACATTCCCTCAATTTCTCATGTAACTCACAGTGTAATGAAAACAGACACAACACACAGTTAAATTTAATCTGCACTATTAACCTCTTCTCCATCACTTTAAACAGTAAATCAAGCCCTGATTTGCAGTGTTTCCTGATTTCCATGACATAAATACTCCCATTGTGAATGACTTCAAGCTACCAAAGTGACATTACTGAAAGCAAAGTTGAGACTAAATGCATAGCAGCACCCTACTATATGGTATTTCCACCATATAGCTACAAATATAAAACAGATAATAGTAAAATCTACTAGAACAATTAGGAAGTGACTAGTTTTGAATATTTGTGATTTTGTTTTTAATATAATTTACTTAAATATTCACATAAATTAAACTTCTGATAATGCCTGAAAGATAACCTCTAATTAAAAAATCTTTCACAAGCCAGTACAAGCTTGCACCAACATACCTTTAAGTTTCTTTAATTTAAATATAGTCTTCAACTCTATGACTAGGATTATTTCTCACACATTTTAACAGAATGTCTATAAATAGCATGATCCAGGGAAATGATGCCACTAATAGCAGGGTCCATAATGATGAACCAGGTATAATAAGAGGGCTGAAGAATTTATCTGCATTATCTCATTAATTTAATGACAGACAGACATAAAAAGCTAAGATAGATTTATACCAGCTCTATTACACAAATTAGGTTATATTCTCATATTATGGAAATTATATAAGAATAATTGGTTTGAGAAGTGGGAAGCTATTAAAGCTCTCCAAATTTAATCTCTTAATTTTAAAGATAAAACTAAGGCCCAAAGAGGTTAAATAATTTCCCAAGGTTACACAGGTTATTTACAAAATTGGATCAGTTTTATAAATTAGTTTAAATAATTCTAAATACATGGAATAATTCCTCATTTCAATACCTTGTATTAAAATCTGTATATCCAAAGCTTGCTTATGTTCTCCGCTTTTCCTCATATTATCTTTAAATTAAAATAGTCGGGCCTCCCTGGTGGCAGAAGGGTTGGGACACAGCCTATGAAGCTGTCCACAGCCACTGCAGCATGAGTTCAATTTCCGGCCAGCCAGGGAGCAACCCACATGGTGCAGCAGACCTCTCCTGGCTCGCTCACTGCTCCCCACAGCAGTGTAGTTTGGTTAATCTGCCTGTTCTGTTCCCCACTCTGTCTCTGGTGAATCCTCTCACCGCCCACGCCTCTGGCCTATACCCCAGAACTTGTATGCATAAATAAATAAATCTGTAAAAAAATAAATTAAAATAGTGAACACTATGCTATGTAGGGAAGAGATTTTTCAAACAACTATGACAGACATAGCAAGACCTTCTGAAATAACAGACTTAAGAATTTAAATTGATTCAAAAAACCCAAGAGAAAAATGTTGCCAAGTTAATAATTGTAATAACTTCATATGGTGGTTTTTCAATAACATTACTTGTCAATCCGAAGTAATGATAAATCACATATTTTTTCAAGTCAATATCAACGGTAATTTACCTTTGTCTTGATATTCAGATGGTTCTTGTTGTTGAACTTTTGCATGGACTTCATGCTGATCCCTCTGCTCCATTATAGGCAATTCAGGCATGTTTAAATATTCTGACCTTTATAAGGATAAATCCAGCCATCAAAATATTAAAGAAAATATTAAAAGTAATCTAACTTTGAAAACTACTTATTCATATAAATGAAAAAAAATATGGCTTATCCACCCAACACTTCTATGATAAACTGTACCAGATTGAATAATAAAAGGTAAAAAATAGATGTTTAATGGAAGTGGCAGTTACTTAGTTATTTTTATATGTCCCCACTATGTAGGTATCTTTCTGTGTTTAGTCTTAAAAATCTATTACTAAAGCTATTTTCAGTTAGATAACAAAAGCTAGGATGTCTTAAAGTAGTGTTGGCATCTGTTCTGATTGATTAGGGTCTATTCTGTACTGGTTTTTAAGCATATTAATTGTTATCTCTGCATATAGAATGCCCCTTTTTGGAGGGGAAATTACATAATATTGTCTTCTACACATCAAGATTTAGGAAATAATGCTCAGTTATCATCTAGGGCCTTCTACTTATTAACTAGAAATATAAGCTTTCGTTATTTCATCTATAAAATGGGATTAATAATATCATTTTATGAGCCAGGTTGCTATTACGGTCAAAGATATAATGCACAAAAGTACAGTTTTTAAATTACAAAATATTTTATAAATATGAGGGGTTAAAATAGAGTAGGGTGCTAAATGGAAAAGATTAGATTTTGTATTACAATATGATTTCTCTTTTTAAAGAATACTCTCATCACCTGTTAAGTTTCGAAGGCAGAGAGTCTGAGGACATGACATGTAAGATGGCTAGTTTACCAGGAAAGAGATAATTTAATGAATGTTAAGATATTCTATAACTATGTAATTTCAAACAAATTTAGGATAGGAAACATAATGAAAGTCTTATGATGCCATTACTTCACTATGGAACTAGAAAATCACTAAGTGATTTGAAGGTAGCAAGTGACCACCTTTTACTGAATAAGTGATTACTCGGAGGAAGAGAGTTTAAGATGACTCTTTTATATTAGATAGTAACAGTATAGTTGTACCTTGATATACTGGGAAGAGAAGGTTTTGGAGTAAAACCAAATTCTTTAAGGTTCACACTTTGAGATTTATTTATCTGCATCTATTAATGAAAGAAAACACAAGTTCAACTATCCATTTCACATGAAAATATTTTAATAAATGAGTCAAACAGTAAAATTCCTACTGTTACACAAAAGTTCAAAAGCCAGTGAATTAGGAGAAACTCAGCTTCTCAACTCAAATGTCCTTCCAAAGAGTTGATATTCTTCATGGTTCTTTGCTATGCCTTCTTCCCTTCTGACTCTTTATATTCTCAATGATTTCATTTACTCCCATGGCTTGAATTACCATCTATATGGAAATAACCCTCAAATCATATTTCTAGCTCAATTCTCTCCTGGTTTTCCCCCAGTTACAGCTAACTTTCTGTAAAAATCTTTAACTAGATATTTTGTCACCTCTAAATTCAGTAATTCCAGGATTGAACTTACTGCGCCTCTATTCCTCCAAACTTGCATTTCCTTTACAGTTCTAGTAAGGCCCCACTTATTCTCCAGTTGCTCAAGTCAGAAAGCTCCTCACCAATTAAATGCCAATTAAGATAGCTGATTCCATCTCTGAGAAAATACTTTAAACCCATTCACTTCTCTCCCTTGCTGCCATTGCACTAGTCAAGGCAATTATTTTGCTTACCTAATGAGTCCTTGTGTTCCTTTTCTATCATCCTCTAATCTGTTCTCCATACTGTATCCACAGTATACTTTATAAAATATAATCCTGATCATACTATTGATTAAAGCTCTTTCATGGCTTCCCAACACTTTCAGGATAAAGTCCAAATCCTTAAAATAGCATAAAAATGCTTCAGCCTCTTTTCTCTCTACTCTCCCATATGTAAATGACTGACAATATACTGTATTACTTCAGTTTTTAAAAAATTATCTCTGTCTTTTTCTCACCTCTATACCTCTGTATGTTTTCTGCTTCTGAAATACTTTTCTACCCCTCTCCACTATCTCTTCGGTATTCACCTCTCCATACTTGACTTTCTGCTTTTATATCCTTCAGGCCTCAATAATGTTTTTTTTAGGCATTCTTTCCTGGCCCATAAAGTGTGGAATGACTACACTTTCTAAGTAAACCCAAGTTATTTTACACTATGTCACTGAATCAGTCATCACACTATGTTGAAAAAGCCTATTTACTTATAAAGCAGGTATGATTCCCTAAAACTATAAATTCTATGAGGATTAGGATTAAAACTATCTTACTCAGGGCCTCCCCCGTGGCGCAGCGGTTGAGCGCTGGGTTGCGGGGCTGCCCGCAGCCTCTGTAGCGCTGGTTCTATCCCCAGCTGCTCCCAGGCCACCGGAGGAGGGTCCCACATGGCGCGCAGACCTCTCCTGCCACCCGCTGCTCCCCTCAGCAGTGTACTTCGGTCCTTCTGCCTGCTCTGCTCCCTGCTCTCGCTCTGGTGAATTCTCTCACCCTCCCGCTCTTCTGACTGTGCCCAGTGCTTGTATAAATAAATAAATCTTAAAAAAAAAAAAAAAAACCGTCTTACTCATCACTGTATCTTACCAATTATCATACTACTTGGAACATTCTTGGTATTCAATGAATATGGAAGAAAAGAAAGAAGAACATGGAACACATATGAAAGAAAAGGAAGGAAGAGGGAAGAAAAAATTTGTATTACTAAAAAACTATCTCAAATAAGGTAGTATACCTCCTGTTTCTCAATATTCTCATTTTAACCTCATAATTTAGAATTTATTCCTAAAGAAACACATTCTGCCATTTTCTTGACTCTGTTCTATGACCCAATTAATTATTTTGCCCTGGCTAGGATGATTTACAAGTCTGCAGGTGATTAGCCTATCCACCAGCAGGAATATACTGACAATATATTCAATATCCTGTCAGTATATTCCTTCTTTACTTGGAAAGGAAACTCTTTGAGCTAAATACTCATCTGGGTGCACAAATCAAAATCAACTTCAGACTTTCTAGCCCAGTCCAGCAGTGTCAGGAAAGGGGAAGAGTGTCTAGTTTCAACTGCTGAACTAAGTCAAGTTACATCTCTCTCTCCATTTTCTTCTTCTCGGGCTTAAAAAAAAAAAAACGGTTAATAAAGGTAGGAGCTATATAACTATATCCCAAAAATGGATTTATAGATGGATTATTAAGAATTACAAAACCTTTTCCTTTGGAAACAATATTATGAGTCATGGTCATATTCCCCGGCAAGCCCACAAATAACTCTAAACTATACCATGGTTACATATCTAACTGATCGACAGACAAGAGGAATATCTATATATATTTAATTACAGAACAAGGGACAAATGTTACTAAAACCAACCTTGAGACGTTTAACTGGAGGAAGAGATGAAAAAGCATTTCTGTTTCTTAAATCAGATAAGTATGAAGAAATTGTTGACTCTTTCATTTCTGACTTCTGTGCAACTCCAATTTTACCTATGAAAAGAAATCATAGACTCTTTAGGTTAAACTTTAGATATCGTTAATCTAAAGCCAAATATCTTCAAAACTGGGCCTCCATGGTGGCTCAAGGGGTTAAGGCACAACCTATGAAACTATTCACAGCCACTGCAGCACGAGTTCAATCCTCAGCCAGGGAGCTACCCATATGGCACAGCAGACCTCTCCTGACTCACCTGCTGCTCTCCTCAGCAGTGAATCTCAGTCAATCTGATTGTTCTATTCCCCACTCTGTCTCTGGTGAATCCTCTCACACCTCTGCACCTCTGGCCTGTACCCCAGCTCTTGCATGCATAAATAAATAAATCTTTTTAAAAAACACAAATTTCTTCAAAATTTAAAATCTAATATTTACTTTTTTCATGTTGTCCACAAAACAAACAAAATTATTAGTTATAAGCTTTATAAGTATCATCATACATAGACAATTAGGATGTCATTACGATTCATCAAAGAATAGTACTTTTTAAAACCTGAAATACTTTTAAAACTCACAGCAGTCATGTCCACAAGTATGTTTATTTTTGCAGTGATGGTTGCATTCTCTGTTCCCAGGTTTTTTGCAAGCTGTCATTCCTAAAGTAATATAAGAACAACAAACCTATTTTTTTATGATGCCCATTATTATGAATTTAATATAATTAATATCCAACTCTCTCCTTTCAGACAATACAAAAAGAATATGGCATTCTGCTAGCATCACTGACAGCTGTTACTAAATAGAATACCATACACACTTAATACATGCTAGAAATAAATGCTTTAGGGATATGAGATATTTGTTGTCTGAATTTGTAGAAAAGAGACTGCTTCTAGTTTGACTTCCCTAAGGTATAATATACCCAAACATATAATTAATTTTCTATTTATTTTAAGTAGGATTTTTCTTGATGTTAGCTTTCACTAGTTACATGGGAAAGAGAAAGACATTTGAACTGGTCCTTGAAGGACAAACAGAATTTGAACATGAGAAGGAGACCAGAGGGAAGATTTTCTGGCAAACCACAAATTATATAAATGATATAAATGATATAAATTATATCATATAAATTATATAAATATATTATATATCATATAAATTATATAAATCATATAAATTATATAAATGAAAAATAAACTTATTTTTGCTGAAGCATAGATTTCAAGTGAGCTAGAAATTTTGGAAATAGTGAAGAGCTTTGAAAATCGTCCTAACATTTCGTGGTCCTTTACTCTATATTTTCAGTGCCACTGATGAATCAAAATTTCCAAGGCATGGCTCATCTAGATATGAGGCAACTGGCTAGACACCTTGAGGCCTATGCAGATCAATGTATTGGATACTAAGTAATATAACATTCCTAGCAGCTGGAAGCTGACAGATGAATTATGGTGTTCCCAATGGACATAAACAACTTTGGCAGAAAACTACAGAATATTCAAAGAAGGCTACTATGTGACTACAGTAGAATATAGAGATAAGACTATTTATGTGATTATTTCTGAATCTAGAGACAAGGGCACTCAATAACCACAAAAATAACTAAACATCCCCCTCTTCTGGCTAACACAAATGACTACTATTTCATAACTCCTCCCATCTCCAAGGTAAGATACACCAAAATATCTAATATCCCACTTGCTGAGAGTATGCAATCTAGAATTGACTTTTGTTTTTCTTAAAATCCCTAAGAAGCATCCAGCACAAGTTGAAATCCTTTAAGTTCCCCCTCCCCCCAAGATGACCCACTTCTGCCAATGTTATACTCTCTTCTGCTGCAGCAATTCTCCTCAAATACAGGTGTGTTCCCATTGATCTTTGTATGAAAAATTTGGATGTTATACTTCGCAAGATGTGCCATGCCTCTTGGCTAAGAACTTTTGCCCCAGTTCATGCTGTCATCAATTTTAGTTACCTGGTTTCCTTGAATCCAGCCCTACCATGCCACAATTTATTCTAAACACTGTAGCTTAATTCATTAATTCTTCAAAGTTTAATGTTGATCACATCATTTGTGCACTTAGAAATGTTATTTCCTACTGCCAACAAAATTAATTCCATATTTAAGATCCTCCACAATGTAATTCTAACCTCCCTTCCTAGCATCCATATTAACCTTCTATGCATTAAAACATGTTTGTTAATATTCAAAGCTTTTCTATAATTGTACCTTTGATATTATTTCTTGTCTTAGATAGAAGTCTCACTTTTTTGCTTATCAGAAGCTATCAACTTTCAAGGTTGACTCAAATAGCACCTCTTTATGGAGTTCTATCTTGATCACCCCATCTAGAAGTGATTTCTTTCTTCTTAGAGCACTTAGGAGTTTCCTTTGTCCCTCTAGCTTTCTGAATGCTGCCTTATATTTAATGTATTTACATAAAAACACAGTGGTGAAATACAGGGCACCCTAAACTAATATAAGAAAACACAAGTTCAGGACTCCCTGGTGGCTTAGGGGTTAAGTCTCTGCACTATCATCTCTATGGCCTGAGTAGATCCCTGCCAGGGAGCTAACCCACATATAGTGCAGCAGACCTCTCCTGTCTCGCCCGCTGCTCCTCTCAGCAGTATATTTCAGTACACCCACCTGTTCTGCTTCCCACTCTGTCTCTGGTGAATTCTATCACCCCTGTACCTCTGGCCTATACCCCAATTATCTATGCAAAAATGAAAATAAATAAAAAGAAAAGGAAAACACAAGTTCAAATATGGGCTCTTAATCTGTGAAAAAAAGGTTAAAAATAGTATCTGTTCTGTTTACCTCATCAAGATGAAAAGATAAAATGAAATTAAGTAGGTGAAAACATTTTAAAATTAAGTGATAACTAATACATTAGCATATGTGTCATCTGTATTACATTAATTAGCTATTAACCATGTAATAGTCATATAATTAGTACAGTTTTGAGTGCTATGAAGGAGAGGGGAACAGTACTATATAAAAGCATTGGTAGGGAACTACCTTGGTCAGGAATGTCTTGGAAGGCTTCCCTAAAGAAGTGATGATTGGTCTGAGGACTGAAGAATAAGTGGAAGTTAACAAGGCAAAGAAGTAGGAGTAACAGTGCTTGAGGGAGTGACAATAGCATATGCAAAACCTCTATACAGGACAAGGGAAAGCATGACACATTGGAGAAATGGTAAGGCCAGTGTAGGTGATACACAGCAAGTAAGAGAGTGCACATGATGAGAAAGTAGAGGGAGAAAGATCTATGTTTGCAGGGAAAAGCTCCATCATTAGAACCTGGCAATTGCATGCTTTCACACAGGCCACATAGGCAAAGCCCAACTATTTACAGAATGCCCTGATTTTTCTTGGGACATGTTAAGGCTGTTAAAGGCCATTTCTTACCTGTCTCAGCTTCAAGGGGCTCCCTATCTTCATGAGGTTGCTATAAGGCAATTTCTGATCTGCCTCTCTGGCTACAGTAAGACATAGGACATTTCCCCTCATCCCTTACAGGTGCGGCTGCTGGCTACAAAACCAACTAGCTGCCACTTAGACTTCTCAAAAACAAAACAACCTATATTCATATCATCTAGCCCCTGCAGTTGAGTGTCATCCTGTAGGATTAGGGATGCAAGCAGCTGATACCATGCTGACCTTGTTCTGTTGCATGGATAATAATAAACTGTCTAAATGCATTTGGGTCTCTTGTATCTTTATCAGCCAATTTTATGGAGATGAGAAGCTGCAGTTCCACTGCTGCTTCAGGACAGACTGACTGAGTGACAGTATGGGAACTTGTAAGAGATGTTCATGATTTGACTTTTTTAAATCTAAGAGCAATGAGGAACCACTCAACTGTTTTAACCAAAACAAGGTTCATAATCAAAATTGCATTTTGAGGGCCTGCCTAGTGGCACAAGGGGTTAAGATGCAACTTATGAAGCATTCCGCAGCCACTGCAGCATGAGTTCAATCCCTGGCCAGGGAGCTACCCACATGGGACAGCAGACCTCTCCTGACTTGCTCACTGCTCCCCTCAGTAGTGTATTTCAGTCAATCTGCCTGTTCTGTTCCCCACTCTGTCTCTGGTGGATCCTTCCACCCCCTACACCTCTGGCCTGTACCCCAGTTCTTGTAAGCATAAATAAATCTTTAAAAAAAATTGCATTTTGAAAAAATCAATCTATAAAGTGTAACCCTTTCTACCACTACATTCTCAATGTGGAGAATGGATTTGAGGGAGGACAGGTGCAAGAAAAACTATCAAAAGGCTGCTTCAGGAGTCTGGGCAAGAAAGCGATGGTAACTCAGTGCAGACTGGTGGTAGTAGTAAAGTCACAGAGAATGGATTCATTTGACAAATACAGAAAGAAGGTAAAAATATTTTAAAATCAGAATCAACCACTGTGCTTTTCTTTCCTGAGAAGCATATGATTTTCCCAGAAGTTTTACTACTTTCCTTTTAGTCTAGCAATATCTACCTTAAATTTCTTTAAATACTTTTAACATTTCAAAAATGAAGACAATATATTGAAATGCCTTATCTACTTATTTCTCTCACAGATACCTCCTTCAGTGAGCCTCCCATTCTCCTAATAATACAAGGAAACCTGTTCTATACTTGTCATCTTTGAACATACTTTCATTTGCCTCCTGGACTAAACCCACTATTCCTGGATTCTTTACTTTTCTTTTTTGGTTAAATGCTTTGTTTTTATTTGTTTATCCTTAAACAAGTGCCTGCCAAACTTTTTGTATCCTTGACCCTTTTAAGATACCTTTATTATACTTTGCCATTTAATTAACAGTTTGGTTGGATATAGAATACAGGGTTCAAAATCACTTCCTCTCTGGATTTTAAGTCTATTGCCTATTAGGACCCAGTTTTTTTAGTTAAAATAAAAAAACAATGCAACTTCAATTTTTGTTCCTTGGAAGCATTTATGATTTTCTCCTTATCCATGATGTTCTGTAATGTTGCAATTATGCCTCCTTTGTAGATGTTCTTTCATTCATACTACCTAGCACTAAGTAAGATTTTTTGATGTACTGATTTAGGACTCATTTTAGGCCTAGAAAACTTTTTTAAATTATATTTGCTGGTTAGTTTTCTGTTTCTATAACAGCATTAGTCAGCTATCAGACTCCTAGATTACCCCCTTTGTCTCTTATATTTATATTCCTTTCTTCTTGTTCTCTTGTTTCACATAGCATGTAATGACTTTATCTTCTTATCCTCCAGCAAATTAGCTTTTCCACAGTGCTCGCTTAGTTCTGTAATTATTCTGTATTTCATGGTATCCTATCCTGTTTAATGATTACAATTTAATATTTACTTTATCTACGGTTGCGAATTATTTCATATTAAATTTTATTCCATTCCTGAATTATCCTGTTGTTCTTCCATTCATTTTCTGTTTCGTTATTTGGGGCTTTCTTTTATGTTTAAGATTTTCCTCAAATATCTGTTCACTCTTGGCTGTTAGTCTTTAATAAGACAGTCCATTTATGGCTCCATTTCACAGGAGAGAAAATTAATCCATACAGAGGTTAAATAACAGGTTCAAGACCATAAAGTTAAGTATAAATTTGAGATTTTAACTCAGGCAGTCGAATTTTGGAGGCTGCTTTTCAACTACCTTG